ATGAACAATGGAATATGTATGTTTAGGAGAGAAGAGGCTTTTTCTTCTTTACTTACCATCTTTACATTATTATGTAGATTCACAGTATTATAAATAAATTATAACATCAGTGCCTATCCACTCTTGTTAAATTTTATGAGTAATCTGGCTAGTTTTATGAACCTTACACAAGATAAAAATCATTTTGGAAGAGGGAACCTGCTTGAAGTTGAAAAAAATGTTCCCAGCAGATTGACCTGTGGATAAGCCCATAGTACATTTTCTTGGTTGATGATTGATGTGGATGGGCCCAACTAATTGTGGATAATACCTCCCCTGGACTGGAGGTCTAGGGTGCTGTAAGATGGCAAGCAGAATGAACCACAAGGAGCAAGCCAGTAAGCATCATTCTTTCATGGCCTCTGCATTGGTTCCTGCCCCTGGGTTCCTGCCTTGATTTCCTGCCCTGATATTCCTAGATGATGGGTTATAGCTGTCAGATGAAATAAACCCTTCCTTCCTGAAGTTGATTTTGGTTGTGATGTTCATCACAGCAATAGAAATCCCATGGCAATGATTAGTTTTCTCAACCCCCCCCCTCTGTATTTTCTGTTTTCTCTGAGGTACTTGTGGCCATACTCTGAAGAAAACAAACATGCAACTGTTCTAGCCACATATTTTTTAGTGTCTCTCTTGACAAAGATGCCTCAACACCAAACATCACTTCTAAGTACTTGAAGAAAAGAGTCAGTAGAAACTACCTACCTCAGTTTTTTTGGGGGGGGGGAAGCAAGAGTTGATTACCTTGATTGAATACTAATTCAATCAATGTAATTAATAAATTACAGAACATGAATCTGTGCTGAGACAATGACAGCAGAGAATGGTGAACACACAGCAGGGTGACCGGATGGTTTTAGTTTATCAATGTGCAAGGCATAAATGTTTTATTGCTCTGTGTAAATAGGTTGTTGATCTAGAACATGAAAGACAGTGAGTCATAAAATAGGAATAAGTATCAAAAGTTACAAAGGTGCAGGTGAGTAATATTTTTTTGCCAGAGTTTGTAACATCTGAAAATACTGAGAATGAAGAGATAATAACATGTGTTAATTTCTGACAAAATTGGCTAGTTATAATTAAAGCACCTAAATAAGCAATATTTGTTTAATCATTTACTGCCAAATTCTGTACTGTAGCAAATTCAAATTACTTTACCCAGTTATAAAGAGAAATATTCCTATATTATCTTAACAGTGAGTTGTGAAAAACTGGTTGTTTATTTCCATGTGATCTGCCAGACAGTAGAGATCCTTTCTCTTACCATAAAAACCTGTGGTTTGTGTTCACTTGGTGGTCTTTGCTTGTGGAACGCATGAAAAAAATAAAAGGATAAATCTCTTTTCATGAGAAAATGTGAAAATTCCTTATAATCATACTTTCACTTGGCAGTTTTTAAACATTTCAATTTAATTTGGTGGGCCCAGGAGCACATCATATCCAAATATCCAACTCTAAATTCACAGATTTGTCTTCTTATGAGGTGCACCAGGCAATGAGATCCAGGATCAGGACATCTTTGACACTTAAAATTCATGATTTTATGGTGATGACAGTGGTTGGCATATCATAATGATTGACTATTAGATTAATATTGTAGAACATTGTAGAAGTTGCGTGACAAAATGGTGCAGTCCTATGATCCCAGCACATGGAAAGCAGAGGCTGCCTGCTTGTCAGGCTACATGGGCAGTTTGAAATAAGACTGTGCTACATAGTGAAACCATGTCAACCAAAGAGAAATGGTAGGAAAAGGCTTGATACCACTGTGGTATGCTGCTTTTTCTGTTTAACCCTAACATGAAAACTGGTTTGCTGGAAAAAGCTGTCAGATCAAACTGGATAGTGGATGAGTTGATTTTGTCAGGAAAATCTTGAGTGTTATTTTCTAGATACTGTACACTTTATGGGGAAAAAAGCCATCAACTCTCAATTTCCTCTCTCTTTCTGAAGGAGCCCTTACAAGTCACAGTTGTGATTTGTCTCAATCAAGGTGTCTCAAGCTCCGCTGAAAGAGTATCATCATGTTTGTTGCTTCTGAAAACAGGCTCAGTGTACAGATTTATGAGGCTGTGGATTCATTCTAGGCTAAGAAAAATAAGATTTGATCAAGGAAGAGCCCCTAAAGGATCTCCCATAGGAGCAGATGGTCTGGATGATCCAACATTTCAGAGAACCTCTGTTGAAGTTTCTTTTGAGTTCTGCATTCAGAACAGTTTCAAGACTGCTGACTCAGATAATCAAGCCTCACAGAATATTCCATTCAGAACTTGACCATAATTCAAAATTTTCTTTAAGTCCCCATAAGATTATCAGAGCCCCCAGACAGCAGAAAGTATCCTGGAAAACTATGACCTCATTCCCCAAAAATGGATGATGGATGTTTGCCTTTGGTTAAAATGTTGGTTACAAATTGTTATGGGTGATGGTCAGGAGAAAAGCTAAACAAAGGGCAATAGATTCAGAGTTTTTTTTTTAAAGGGGGGAGTTCTGTGGGACAATGGTCTCTTGTCTTGTCACTTGTATTATTATTTTTCTTTTTTAAGTTGATTTTTATTGAGCTCTACATTTTTCTGCTCCCCTTCCTGCCTCTCCCCTCCCCACTTCAGCCCTCCCCCAAGGTCCCCATGCTCCCAATTTACTCAGGAGATCTTGTCGTTTTCTACTTCCAATGTAGATTAGACCTATGTAAGTGTCTCTTAGTGTCCTCATTGTTGTCTAAATCCTCTGGGATTGTGTTTTGAAGGCTGTTTTTTTTTGGTTTTTTTTGCTTTATGTTTAAAAAACACCTAGAATGAGTACATGTGATAATTGTCTTTCTGTGTCTGGGTTACCTCACTCAAAATAATGTTTTCTAGCTCCATCCATTTTCCTGCAAAGTTCAAGGTGTTGCTATTTTTTCTGATGTGTAATACTCCATTGTGTAAATATGCTACATTTTCCTTATCCATTCTTTGGTCAAGAGGCATTTAGGTTGTTTCCTTATTTCCAGGTTCTGGATATTACAAATAAAAGTGGTATTACTGGGTCTTGAGGAAGGTTGTTTCCTAATTTTCTGAGAAATCACCACACTGACAAATAATCCAATAAAAATATGGAGTACAGGCTTAAACATAGAACTCTCAACAGAGAAATCTAAAATGAAAGACACTTAATGAAATGTTCAACATCCTTAGTCATCAGAGAAATGCAAATCAAAACAAATCTGAGATTCCATCTTACACCTGTAAGAATGACCAAGATCAAAACCACTGATGACAATTGATGCTGGAGAGGTTATGGGGAAAAGGGAACACTTCTGCATTGCTGGTGGGGATGCAAGCTGTCACTTGTATTATTTTTAATAAAACACTGATTGGCCAGAAGCCAGGCAGGAAGTAGAAGTGGGGCAACAAGAACAGGAGAATTCTAGGAAGAAGAAATGTCAGTATGCAGTAGTCACCCAGCCACAGAGGAAGCAAGATGAGAATGCCTCGCTGACAAAGGTACCAAGCCACGTGGCTAAGACAGACAAGAATAATGGATCAATGTAAGTTGTAAGAATTAATTAATAAGAAGCCTGAACTACTAGGCCAGCTGGTTTATAATTAATGTAGACCTCTGTGTGTTTATTTGGGACTAAATGGCTGTGGGACCTTGTGGTACAGAAACCTCTCTTAATAGGTGATGTTCATGTGATTGTCATAATGCTTTGCTGAGCTACGCCACTGTTTCTAGAATCTGTTTTAGTACAGAAGCAGATATGCTTCAACAACATAAATGGGAAAGATTTCTCATTCCCACTATACAACAGAAAAAGAATAGATTGCATATGACATCATGACATAATAAAAACATTCAAAACCGTGGTCATTTGCTTAAGTAAACCTGGTTAAAGCTATATAATATTCAAGGGTATATGGGATAATTGTAATTTTTAAAGGTGTCTAAGCTATCTAGAGGAGGCAGAAATTGATATGAAACAGTTTCTGTGATATTATTTAATTAGATTTTAGTATTTAGAAATTAATACTTCCACTAAGGCCCCAAAAATATCTTTTTATTTGTAAAACAACAAAATTACACAAAGAGGCTGTATGACTAAACTGTACCAAGTGGTTCTGCTTGAGAATCATTCTCAGATAGAGAGATCTGGCCAAAGTATCAATAAGAAACGAGGAAGGCTGTATGCATGGTGTCCTACAATATCCCCTAAGACTCATAAACCTTGATCACTGCTCATGAAGCAGCTACTTCCTGTATTCTAGGAAAATTTATAAACCTGAATAAACTTACCCAAGTACAGTGGGTGAACGTTTTTGTTTGTTTTGTTTTGTTTGGTGAAAATGTGTCCTGGGCTAGGTGTTGTAGCTTCAGTGTAGAAAAGTAAATGAAATCAGCCTTTCAAAGTCTCATCCAGATTCATTGTCAATCTTTTTTAGACTAAAGTGAGTAACAGTGTTTGTTGAATACTCTTAAATCTAATGCTGTCAGGGAAAATTCAAGGGATTCTACATGATACCCTTGTGGCCAGCCAAAGGTACTAAGAACAGCCTATCTCAGACACAAGGACAAGCTTGAGAGAAGTTTTATATGACCAAAGTGAGCAGGAATCATGAGGAAATGTTAGAGAAAGAATCAAAACAACCCCCAACTTCAAAACAAGCAGTTACTGAGGTCTTTCACAGAAGGGTTGAGCTGCATTTTATGTTGTCTGGTTATTTTATGGCTTCATAGGAGGCCACAAAGCCATCACACCAGCCTTATTTTTTAAGACTTAAATCTGAATGTTACTGTGTACATACACATATTTTATATTTATATACATATAAATCAAATTCATTTGCAGTAACCACTAGCTCATAATGAGTTAATTAATTGGTAATGACTTAAGATTAGGCAAAATGCTTGATATTAAGCAAAATGCTTGCTATTTACATTGGTATGGATAGCCATTTTTATTTAGAACACCATACTTTGACAGCAAGATTCTATTTTATTTTCATCTTCAAGCATAGGCAAAAAACAAGCTTCCACGTGTGAAGAAAATGGAGGAACTGATCAGTGTCGTAGTTTTTATAAGGTTAGGCTCTCATATAACTAATTACAGTTAACCACAGGACTATAAGTTGAACCAGACAAAAGGTTATGCTAAGCATAAACTTTGCACGGTGTAAAGACCAGTAATTTACCCATCAGAGAACAAGCTTCTCTCCAGAAGCATCTGCCCACCTTGGGGGCCATGTGCTCCAGGGACTGCTTTGAGATGAAGAGGGGCTTTTATTTTTAATGACGATTACAATTCTTTTCTTTCTATTCCAGCTTGGATGACTCCCCCATACCAAGTCATAAGGACCTAATACATTTTTAAAGAGGATGTCTATGTCCTTCCTGTAATCTTGTAACTAATGTGTCTGCCTCTTGGCATCCATGTTCTAGTTACACAACAACTGCTATTGAAACAAATATGATCATGGCCTGACAAAGCTTTCCTATACATTTAGAATAATATTCTTACTTATCGAGGCCTTGAATGACATGGCTCCTCTTTAGGTTTTCTGTTGTCCAATGTGCTTCAAAGGCAATAACTCCCTTTCTTTTAAATCAGCATTTTAACATCACAATTTGAATTTTGGAAATTTCATCCACATATTTGGTGAATGTACTCACTTCCATTATCCTCTATCTCCCTCCAACTTCTAACAACCCTCTTTGTATTAACTTCCCCCTCCTTTACTTTGATGTTTTCTTGTCCATGCAGGTCTTGTACAGGCAGTCATAGACACTGTGTTCATGATGACATCAGCTAGTTCATATTCAGAAGACAGTGTTTCAGGGCACGCTTCCCATCCTCTGGCAATGACAAGTCTTTGTTCCTTCATTTCCATCATGTCCCCTGGACCCTGTGGGGGATTATATAAACATCCTATTTAGGACTGAATAATCAACGGTCACTTAAAGTTCAAAACTTTGACCAGTTATGAGTCTTTTTACTCACCATAGGTCCCAGCAAAAAGAAGCATTTCTGGTCAATATTGAGAAAAAACTAGTCTAAGAGCCTGAATGTAAGTATTTAGAAGGAAAGTTGGGTACATATCCATTTAGCTTAATCTAAATAGTAAATTCCCCCACTTGGACCTGTGACATCTTTTAGCCATAGGTTATTAATCTGACTTAGAATACCAGTGATATATTACTTCCAAAAAGACCAGGCATCAAATACAATCATAAAACATTTGGTTACTTTGTAAACAACCATGCCACTATTGCCCGGTGGACACATCTGACTAACATCACCTCTCTCTTAATATTGTCTACAGTTGCTGTGATTTGTTCCGGGTTGTTACCACTGCAAATACTGTGCTTTTACTTTTTATTAACATTTTTGTTCTCATCATTTGCACCTCTATTTGAGCGACTTTAGCTGTAAAAATCCAAAGTCAACATTGTAAAATGACACAAATTTATTGGCTGCTTCTGCACACTAAAAGGTTGACACAGTTTTCTAGGACACAATCTAGACTTTGGGGTAGTCCTTATAAAATCTGTGGCAGGAGAACCCACATTCTTACTTTTTGCAACTTCTAAAGGTAATTCATACTTCTTCCTGTCTCCAATGCCATTGATGTTGTTTCTTTCTGTCACCAAGGGAACAAAGAAGACCAGTGATTTTAAGAATGAATGTGATTAGATTGAGACAATCCAGACACCCAAGATAATTTCCCTGATCTATTCCTCTAGTTTGGTTTTTATATACAGTCTTTTTTTGCTCTTCTGAAGCAAGATCAGATTCCAGAGTAAGACGGTGTAGCCATTTTGAACTAAGGTATGGAGTTATTATTCTGTGGGTCACATAACCACTCAAATTTTGTCCTACAATTCACTTATTTAGAGAGATGTTTCCTAACAGAGTACTATAACATTTGAAATGTCATGTTGTCACTTAATAACTACTTATTGCATATTAAGTACTTATAATACTTACTGCATTATTTTGGTTGATGTTTTATTAATTGAATATCTACTTCCTTTGCTCAGAATATTAGTGTTCTTGGAAATCAGATCTCTCCATGTGTTATTCATCACTGTGTCTCTAGAGCCAAATGCCTCTTACACACAAGCCCATTTGACACATATACGATGTGTTTATCCTTTTAACAGTATGCTTATAAGACTTATGCCAAACAAAATGAGAACAAAGCAACAATTGCAATGCTAGAAAGCCATTCCTGTAGTCTGTCTGACTTCAGCACAGCAAACTCTACTCAGCAAGCATGCACAGGGCAATTTAGGTGAAAATAGAATCCTTCCTTGACAAATAACTTTTTTAATACACTTAAGAAATAAAGAATATTTTTGCAAGGCATCAGAGTTAGTAAATGAAGTAGTTAGGATTCAAATCTAATCTTCCAAGTATAAGACAATTCACGCTGATAACCAAGAAAACTCTAAGAATGAAGAGAGGAGGATCACACTTTGGTAAGCGCCATATGATATTATCCAGCCCATTTGGTAAATAGTGACTTCATATCTCCACAATCAGTTCACTTCTCTACATATAAACTTGAATGTACGTGAGAACTTTATTTTTAAGGTGACTACTGAGATAATCACTTTAAGATTAGAAAGCATTTGCCAATGTATTATGTTACCCATAGTGGATACTACAATGATTACTTGTATTTAACTTTAATTTTCACTATTAACGGTCTCATCACTATTTTCTTGAGTATAAATGATAATAAATACTACATATTTTTCTTTCTAAAATCATTTATCCTGGATTATGAGATCATAATATAAATACTCTATTTACCCATTTCCATTTCTCCATCCAAACCCACCCACATACTCTGTCTTACTCTCCTTCAAGTTCACAACCACTTATTTCATTAACTGTTGTTATATGCATCTATATGAAGTATGTGCATATATCCCAGATGCATCAGTACAACTGGCTCAGTCTACATAATGTTCCTGCAAGGATACCAACAATAGATATGCTAACATGGATGGTGAAAAGCTCAAGATGCCTCAACCCAAACAACAAACAACAACAAAGGGCTATGGGCAGCTATAGAATGCTGAAATAATCTTTCCTGAGGAAAAGCTCACCAAATCATTGTCAAAACGCCAACCTTTAAAATGTTGTTGCTCAGCATTTGCCAAGTTCTTTGGTCCGGCTATTATGGACTCTATTGATGAGTGTGGAATTGTAACATGACACATGCAGTGACATGTCCACTTCTTTCTCTCTCACTCTTTTCCTTCCTTTGTGTCCTCCCTCCTTTCCTTTCCTCTTCCTGTTCTTTTTTCTTTTTTTCTCTTTTCTTTTCTTCTCTCTCCATCTTTATCTTGACTTTCTTTTCTTTTTAGAAAATTCAAAGTAGTTTAATTAAGAAAGATTATTTGGCTGTGTCATAAGCGCAATGTGATAACAGTCATGGCTCCCGTTTAACTGACTTTTTCACTTCTTTCATACTAATAGATAACCATGATTGATTTCTTTTATATGCTATTCATTCTATAAATCCTATTTTCTGATTGAAGGTCTGATCATTAATAATTTTCCATAGAGAAATTATGAAAATATTTTACTCAATGTAGAATAAAATTGTTATGGCATTAATCTATCATCATGAGGAAATACATGAGAAACATGCTCCGTATAGTAAGTGAGATTCAATGCAAATTAGAAATTGTTGAATTGTTTTGAAAATTCAGAGAGTGGATGTCTTGGTTAATACATTTGAATAGTTGGAAAGCACGGTAAAGATTTGAAGACACAAGAAAAAACAAAATTGATGTGCATGTTTAGGAAGAGGAAGGTGTAGAATGTGCTGTGGCAAACTGAATGGCAGGCTTTAACTGCATGGAAACGCTGAACAGAGAACTCATGAATAGAACAAGATAATTAATAAAAGAAATGACACTCACTATTTGAAAACATGGCAAACGTTTGGATGTGAACTTTATGTAGCCACAATATCTCACAAACACAAAATAATAATAAGAAAGGAACCATTACAGAAATAAGCAGAATAAATGTTTAGGGGCTCATAGTACATAATCCACACTTAATTTAGGGGCAGGTAGAGTAGTGATAAGAGGATATGGAATTGAAGAAGCTGGGACCTGAACTATTGGGATAAGATCTAAAATTGTCAAATCCAAACTCAGTGATACTTTAAAAGGCAAAAGGAATGTTTACTTTATCCTGTAAACTTAAAGAACTGCAATTCCTGGCACACTATCTGGTAAAAGTTGGGCAGCAGGCTTATTGCTAGTGGGAATAGAATGAGGAACTTATTCATAAAGAATGACAAATGTTCAAAAGAAGAGTTTATGGCAGTATAAATAGTTTGATTTACAAAAATTTTTGTTTGTTATGAGAAATATGTAAATAAATAACAGAAACTGCAGGATTCAAGATCAGAAAAATTCACTCTATCATGTGAATATACATACACATGCATGTCTATAGATACATATATGTGCATACATATGTTTATATGTACCTACATATATGCACACATATATACACTAGATGGATTATATATATATATATGTGTGTGTGTGTGTGTGATATTATTTATCATAAATAAAGACTCAATAAAAATGGGGTCTTTAGAAGAAAAACAATATTTCCAACTAGGTTTAACTTATTATAACACCATGTCATCAGGGATAGGGAAAACGTCGAAATATCTCACCCCAAGACGTGGTGCTATAATCATTCAGTGGCTGCTAAAAGACACAGTGAGTCATCACCAGAGACAAGCCCCCAGTAGATTTAAAATCTTAAGCAGGCAGCCCTAAACACAACTGCATAGGACTAATACCGAAATTGGGCAAGTTATAAAGGAAAATGTATTAACTTGGGTTTATTTCCATAAATATAAGGACTCGGATTTAGCACATACACAGATGACATGAAGTGATTCCTTTGCTTTTCATCTGACAGTCAGGGAAAATTACTTTATCCTAAAGGCTTGTCCGTCCATTCATGAGAAAAACAAAAGGCAGATCATAACATTCTCTATAGGTATAACACTCATCATGGTGCTTAGCATTTAATTAGTGTTCTGTAATTACTAGGTAATATTTGTACAGTGCAAAAGAGCCAATGAGAAAAGTGAAGGTCTACAGGGCAAAGAGTGTAAAAGAGAACTGGTGGTCATGACTAACTAATGCCAGTGAACTATGTTTGAGTAGGGGGTTGGAAGAGCAATTTTGGAGACAGATGCAACAAGACTTAGCAAAGACCTTGATGCGGGCGTGTGAGAGCGCAGAGATGATGGAAGAGGCTGAGACGTTGAACCTCTGTTGCTAAGATGGTACTGACCACTACTAAAGTCTATCCGTTTAAAAAGTTTTACAGTCTTGGAAAGAGGCATGGAAAATGGAACATAGGTCCTATTTCCGAGCATTCCTTGCACTGTTTTTAACTATTTGAACAGTCTTATAATAGAGTGGGTGCATGTGTTCATTGTGCATAACTATGTCCCATGATCAGGAGGAAACTATAGTGAGACAGTAGAGCCATCCAGGGGAAGAGGCCAAATTGCTGGTGTGCCTTGCGTTGCAGTGTGAGAGAAGACATAGTTTTACTTTTTTCAAGTGATGATATTTGGTAGGTATTGTATATGTAGGTTACAAAGGTTAATGGAAAAGGGAAGAGTTAAAAAAAAAAACTATGCAGCTGTATGTCAAATAAATGGATGTCCACTGCATTGTACATACCTGAATGCAATGCAGGTTGTATCTTTGAAAAGAAATTATCCTTGGTCCCAAACTACCTAGTCTTGTTAGACTCACAGTGAGGGCATTCATGGATCTGCTTTTAAGAAAAATATTTAAGTGATTCTTTTCTAAATTAATGGAAACCATTTAATGAAGTGAA